TGTGTGTGTGTGTGTGTGTGTGTGTGTGTGTGTGTGTGTGTGTGTGTAGGTGGCATAGTGGATAGAGCACTGGGCCTGGAGTCAGGAATACCTGAGCTCAAATTCAGCCTCAGATACTTACTAGCTGTGTGACAAGTCCCTTAACCTCTGTTTTCCTCAGTTTCTTCATCTATAAAACAGAGATTATAACAACTGCCTAACAGGGTTACTGTGAGGATCAAGTGAGACAAGATTTGTAAAAATGCTTATTATGGTGCCTGGCAATAATAAGCACTATATATAAATGTTAGCTATTATTATTATTTTAATGTTATTTCTTTGGCATTGTCAGTGTAGTTAACAGTAAAATACTTGTTGAGGTCATAAAGCTTTACAGCTAGAAGGGAACTTAAGGGTCATTGAGTCCAACACCCTTATTTTACAGACAAGGACACTCGGGCCCAGTGAAGTTAAGTGACTTGCCCTAGGGTTACCCAGTTACTGTCTGAAGCAGGATTCAAACTCAGGTCTTTCTGACTCTAAGTCTGATGATGGCTGCTTTGTTTTTTAAATAGGAAACCACATCTACTGAAAATGCGTTTAATCTTAGGATTACTAAATACATCCTTTATTAGTAACTTACCCGCTGATGTCCTTCTATTGAGAGTTGGGTGAAAATGATTGGATGGAAGACTGGATGCTAAAGGATTAAATGGACTACCATCAGAAATTGGAGTTGTAATGGCTGTAGATGATGAAAAGACAGTTCCGTCTGGCTTCTCCAAGAAATCAATACCCATTGGAAGATCAACATTACTTGGAGGCAGTTGTGAAAAATAAGGATCTTCTGCTAAGGAAGTATAAGGATGTACCCTGTATGCACTGGAAACATGAGCCTTTGGATGGGAAACATTATACATTTGGGATTTTGTGCCACTTAGTAAATGATTCAGTTCCACTGAAGAAATACACTTTGACTTGTGAGCCTGTAAGTCAATAGAAGAGTAGGAATGGCCTTGCCAGTCATCCGAACAAGGAAATGCAGCATTGATTTCACACTCCTTCAATTGTCTCTGTGGTGGCAACTCAAAGGGAATGGATTTGGTTCGTGTTAATGGTACCTTTGTATTGGACTGTCTGCCGTTGGCATTTGCAGGTCCCAAATTGGGATGTGTCCCAGACAAAACAGAGTTCAGATCCAAACTTCCATGCTTTTGAAGTGGTTCCCCAACCAGCGGATATAACTTTGTCTCCCATTTCATAAGCCTATCTGCATTTTTCTCACCACTACAGTTTAACTCCAAAACTTTAACAGAAAAGTCTGGCTTAACTGAATGTGAACTGAGTCCTTGACTTCCATGTAGCTCAGGGACACCACAATCTAATGATGAAGCTCGTACTGTTTCTTCTTGGGTCACTTGTTTGTTCTGCTGGCATTTAATTACTGAGTCTTCTTCAGCAGGACTACAACAAATAGTAACAAGTGAGACCACAAAGCATCCTCATGACTGACAAGCACATATTCTCCTGTCCCTCCATATGTGGATTATTTATAACACTTACCAATCTGGTGGAATACAAGAAAAAGGATCATCTTCTAGAACTGGAGGAGGCTTAAGTGCTGCATGGTTTGCTTGAATCTTTGGAAGAAAAGGAGGAAGACAGTGGGTGAAGAAATGTCTTGGACATTTAAGAAGATATATTGGGGAGGACTACCAAAGAAAATCTTATGCAGTAATGGACTTGTTCATAGATCTACTTTCTCCACTGCTTTTCAGAAGGCAAGCAGCAATTCTTTAGGAAAGCTAAAGATTTCCTAATGATTTATAAAAAGATTAGTCTCAAAAATTTTGAGGTTTAAGGGTTTATTTAGTCCAGTCTTGTGAGGAACAGTGTGTGTGTATGTGTGTGTACACACATATATATTCATTTATATTTATGTTATTTCTGTTTTTATGGGTCCTTGCTGGCTTTCCCATTAGAATGTAAGTTCTTTGCAAATAGGGGTTTTCTTTTTACTTGTTTGTCATGTGTGTAGCACAGTGTCTGTCACATAGTAAATGCTTAATAAATACTTGTTGATTGATTGATGGAAAAGGACTTATTAAACACTTACTATGTGCCAGGTACTTTGCCTATTACTAGGGATACAAACACAAAAGTAAATATATAAATAAGACTATATATCACAGACAGATTGCCAATCTACATTGATAAGAGGAATTTTCTACCCTGAGTTTCCCCCAAACTAGTAAAATCACAGGTCCTGACCCCCCAAAATTTTTTAAAGATTTGTAAATATTAGTAAAACAGAGTAGAACCCTCTTGCTAGCTCCACATCTTCCTTATCTTCTTCCTGTACTTTAAACATAGGTGCCTCCAAGCTGTGCTCTCAGCCCTCTTCCCTTCCCTCACCACCTCTCCCTTGGCAATCTCATTAAGTCTCACCACTTCAATTGTGACCTTTCTGCAGATGACTTACAAATTGCAAAGATGGCTCACCTGCCATTGCCTACCACAGTCTCTTCACAGACCTTCAGCTATCTGTTGGATATCTCTGCTTCGGTTAACCACTGGCACTTAAAACTCATTATGTCCAAAAGTGAACTCCCCATTCTTCCTCTAATAGCTTCTCTAATTTCTCTATTCATATTAGTGGCAACAGCATTATTCTTGGCACCCAAACTCATAACCTTAAAATTATCGTTGATTTTTCTCTGTTCTTCACCAAACGCATCCAGTCAGTTGCCTGTTATTAGCAATTCTACTTTCCTGTTACTATTCACATTCATCCCCTCCTTCTACTGCCACTGCTACCACTCTAATTGAGGCCATCATCTTTTCTTGTCTAGAGTACTGTGATAGCTTCCCAAATAGTTTTCCTGTTTCCAGTCTATCCACTCTTCATTCTAGCATCATATTGCTGCCCGAGTAATTGTCTGATGTTTTTCTCCTACTGTGTCATTTTTCTTCTCAAAAAACTTGAGTGATTCTACATTGACTACCTACTCTTGCTCCTGGCATTCAAGGACCTCCAAGGCTTCTCCCAGCTTACTTGTCCAACTTTTCCTCAGACTATTTTTCTTTGTGTGGTCTACATTCCATACAAACTAGGTAACTTTACAGACCAAATTCTCATTCTGCCGTCTCTTGTCATGGTACTTTTGTTCATGTATTCTCCCATGCTTAGAACAGACTCTTATCTCCATCTATTAAAGCCCATCCCTTCTTTCAGGGTTCAAATCAGACCTAGTTACTACCTTTTTAATAAAGCCTTTTCTAACTCCTTATACCAGGAATGGGGAACCTGCGACCTCGAGGCCACATGAGGCCCTCTAGATCCTCAAGTGTGGCCCTTTGACTGAATCCAAACTTCACAGAACAAATCCTTTTATTTGAGGACCTGGAGGACCACATGTGGCCTCGAGGCCACAGGTTCCCCACCCCTGCCTTATACCTTCCCCCCAGCTGAAAGTAATTTCTCATTCCTCAGATTTCTCATAGTACTTTGACTGATCTTCTCATATGCATGTATCTTACTCCCCCTTGTATTAGTTATTTGTGTATCTACTTTTCCTTCAATTAGATTATAAGATACTTGAAAGCAGGGTCTATGATATATCTATCTTTATATCTCCAGCATTTGACACATACTTATAGGTACTTAATAAATTTATGTTGAATAGAAAATTTGACTTTCAAATATAAGACTCAAGTGGAACATGAAGAGGTAAGCAGGAAAGAGAAATCATAAGGGACTTATTAAGGTTGAACTGTTTACGTTCCTGCATGGAAAGATGATATTTGTAACTCATGAGACCTTTGTCAGTATTAGGGTAGTTGGAAAGAAAAAATTATTTGTATGTATATAGATAGATAGATAGATAGATAGATAGAGGGCACAGAGTGAGTTGAAGATGAAGGGATCATATCTGGAGAATAAAATTAAGGGGTGAGAGAGCAATATACTAGAAGGAGAAAGAGAAAGGTGGAACAGGGTAAACCATCTCACAAAAAAACAAAACAAAAGAAAAGGCTCTTACAGTGGAGGGGAAATGGGGAAGGTGAGAGGGAATGAGTGAATCTTATTCTCATAGGATTTGACTTAAGGAGGGAATAACATACATACTCAGTTGGGTATGGAAATCTGTCTTACCCTACAGGAAAATAGGGGGAGAGGGGGACAAGAGAGCAGGGGATTGATAGAGAGAGGGCAGATTGGGAAAGGGGGTAATCAGAAGTAAATACTTCTGAGGAGGGACAGGGTCAAAAGAAAGAATAGAATAAATGGGGGGGCGGGATAGGATTAAGGGAAATAGAGTTAGTTTTTCACAGCATGTCTACTATGGAAGTGTTTTGCATGACTGCACATGTATAACCTATATTGAGTTGTTTGCCTTTTCAATGAGGGTGGGTGGGGAGGGAGGAAGGGAGAAAATTTGGAACCCAAAGTTTTAAAAACACATGTTTAAAAAAAATGTTTTCACATGCAACTGGGAAATAAGAAATACAGGAAATGGGGTACAAAAATCTATCCTGCCCTACAGGAAAATAGAAGGGGAAGGGGTTAAGAGAAGGGGGGAGAGATAGAAGGGAAGGCAGACTTGGGGAAGGGGTATTCAGTATGCATGCTATCTTGGGGTGGGGGGAGGGGCGAAATGGGGTGGAAATTTGGAACTCAAAATCTTGTGGAACTAAATGTTGAAAACTAAAAATAAATAAATAAATAAATTTATGTTGACTAGTTGAACTGAATTATAATATGGGGTATGATTATATTGTTTGGGATGACTAAGATCCACTTCATGTCCCCAAAGCATGATCACTGTATCAAATAAAACTCTGATACTATACATTTAGACTATAAAGTAGATGCTAGTATTGTTTCTCAATAACATTTAAATATTTGATTCTTTGGTGCTTCTAATCAATCAATCAATCCACAAGTATTTTTTAAGTGCTAACTCTGTGCCAAAAACTATACTAGGCCCTGGATATACAAGCACGAATAATGAAACAATCTATTTCAAAGGATCTGCCGTTATAATGGGAGTACAACAAGTATATATATATATATATATATATATATAAAAATATATATATACACACACATATATATACATATATATATATACACACACACACAGCATAAGTATTAAGTGAATCTATAAAAAGTAGTTAACTTATAAGGTAGTTAGGGAGAAAGGGTACTAGTGTGATGTGGTACCATTTCCTTTTGTCCTGTCATTCTAATTACCTCACTGTCCTCAGAGCTGACACTTTCCTTGCATCTTTGTTAATAATGCTCCTCTGTCTCCCCAACTTCTCCCTTCATATCCCATCTCTTTCAGGTAGCCTTTCCTGCCTACTACAGCATACACAGACATCTACCTTTTCTGATTTCTGTAGTATTTTATACTGTACAACACCATGCCACTTGAATTATTTGCTAGACATATCATGTGTGCTGATCTTGTTTTCCCAACCACACTGTAAGCTCCTGAGAGCAGAAACTATATTGTACTCTTTGGACTGTAAATAAACATGAAATTGTTAATTATTACTATTGTTTTTAATTCTTAATAAAAAGTATTTCTTAATGAACTCTTAATTAAAGAAACTCTTAATTAAAAAGAAAAGGCTATGTAATTATAGGTATTCTAAGGATAGAATCATACCTTTTTAAAAGTTTGGTACACCATCTAGCACTGAGTGAATAATAATAATAAATGGAGTAGTCAGGGTAGTATGATGGAGTACAGTAGAAAGAACAATGGATCTCAGTACTTAGCACAGTGCCTGGTGAATAGTAAATACTTAATAAATGCTTGTTGACTGACGAGTCAAGACCTCTGTTTGAATTCTGGCTCTGCTATTTACTGTGACTTTGGGACAGTCTGTTGGGTAATCAATCAATCAATCAATCAACAAACATTAAGTACATATAATGTGCCAGGCATTGGGCTAAGCCCAGGGAATTCAAACAAAGTAAAAAACATACCGTTGCTCTCAAGGACCTCATTCTAATGGGGGAGAAAAAAATGCAAATAACTACATACTAACTAAAAGTAGACTCATTCTCTGTCGTTATAGAAGACATGACTAAGACAAACTATTGAAAGTTACAGCAAGATCAAATTGGCAAAGATGATAAAAAATGGAACAATTCAATGCTGAAGTTGTGGAAATACACACATAATTAAAACAGTATTGAGGGCAGCTAGGTGGTGCAATAGATACAGCTCCAGCTTTGGAGTCAGGAGTACCCGAGTTCAAATCTGGCCTCAGACACTTGATGCTTCCTAGCTTTGTGACCCTGGGCAAGTCACTTAACCCCAACTGCCTCAATAAAAAAGCAAAAAAACAAAAAAAACACCAAACCACTACTGGTGGACTATGAATTGGTCCAACCATTCTGTAAAACAGTTTGGAATTATGTAGGAAACAGCACTATCCAGTTGGGCATATAACCCCAAGAAAGTCAATGGCAGAAAGACAGATTATACTTTATATGACAAAATATTCATGGCAGTATTACTTGTGATAATTAAAAAAAAAACCCAAAACTGGAAATGGTAATGTGGCACAGTAGAGAGAACGCTGGACCTGGAGTCAGGAAGACCCGATTCCAAATCTTGTCTCAGATACTTACTAGACATGTGACCTGGGTAAATCACTTAACCTCTGCCTCCCTCAATTTCCTCTTATATAAAATAGGAATTAAAATAATAGCACCTACCTCTCAAGGTAGTTATGAGAATAATATGAGATAATGTTTATAAAGTACTTTGCAAACTTTAAAGCCATATATAAATGCTAGTTTATTATTATTGTTGTTAATACTATAACACAAAGCTGAGAGGGATAGCTAACATATTGCATGACAAAGTCAGTATCCAAAAATACCTTTTGTGGTGAGAAAGTTGGACTATGAATGTCAATAGAAATGTAAAGTCTTACACTTGCATTAAAAAAATAAAATAAAATTCACAAGTACAGGCTCGAGGAGACATGGTTAGCAGTTTGAAAAAAATCTGCGCGTATTTTGTGAACTACAAATTCAACGTAAGTTAGCAGAGCCATAAGGCAGCAAAAAAAAAAGCTAATGAAAACTTGGGCTTCATTGAGAAAACCATAATTTCCAAGAATAAGGAAGTGATGGTTCCTCTGGAGTCTACCTTAGTCATATCATATGTGGAGTATTCTGTTCCATTCTGGGCAACAAAGTTTAAGGAAGATACGGATAAAAGATGAAGGAGAGCCTTGAGTACATGTAATATGAAGGTCAGTTGAAAGACCTAGGAGTATATTTAGGTTTCCCCAAGTATCAGAAGGACTATTATATGGGAGTCAAGTCAACAAATACTTACTAAGCACTTAATACATGTCAGGCACTGTGCTAAGTGCTAGGGCTACAAAGAAAACCAAAAGATAATCTTTACTCTCAAGACCCTCCTAGTCTGATCGGGAGACAAAATGCACATAATTATGTACTAATGAGATATATACAGGATAAACTGGAGATAATCTCAGAAGGAAGGAACTAAGATGGAGGAGTACTAGGAAAGGCATCTTGCAGAAGGGAGGATTTTAACCGAGACTTGAAGGAAGACAGAAGGCAGAAGTGAGGAAGGAGAGCATTCCAGGCATGAGAGACAGACAATAAAAATGCAAGAAGTGGGAGAAGTATCTTGTGGGAGGAACAGCAAGGATACCAATGTCACTGGATCAGAGAGTACATAGAAGTGAAGTGTAGGAAGACAAGAAATTTTAGGAGGGATCTAAGTTGTGAAAGGCTTTAAAAGAGGGTTTTGTATGTGATCTTGGAGGCAATAGGGGACCACTGTTGTTTACTGAGTAGGGGGATGACATGGTAGGCCTGTGCTTGAGGAAGATCCGCTGAGTGGAAGATGGACAGGAGTGGGGAGAGACTTGAGGCAGGGAGACCAAGCAGAAGGCTTCATTCTGTTTGGCCTCAGACGACAAAACTGGGTACAATGGTGGCGTTGTAAGAAGGGAAGTTTAGGCTTAATTTCAGGGGGAAAAGAAACCTTTCTAACAATTTGAGCTGTCCAAGAGGAGAGTGGGCTGCCTTGAGAGATGGTGAGTTCCCTCTCATTGTAATTCTTCAAACAAAGACTGGATGACCACGTGTTAGGTATATGATAGTGGAAATGTTTGGTATGTGTTAGACTTGATGGTTACTCCAGTCTCTTCCAGCCCTCAGAACAAAACCTGTGATTCTGTAGAGGAACCTACATTTTTAATGAAAGGAAACCATCCTCTTGAAAAGAGCATGCTTCAAAACGTAATGTGAGTTTAAATACAAAAAGAATCAATCTGATTTCCTAGTGAAAACAACTTCATTTAAATTTTGATTGGTTAAGGAAGTGGTATTGCATTGATTATCCTGTAATATTTAAAAAGAAACATGATAAATCACAATTAAATTTTAATACAGATGTTACATCTCTTGGCCTTAATGTCCTAATCTGTAAAACAAGAGCGTTGGACAAGATAACCACTAAGATTCCTTACAACCTTAGACTGATGATTCTGTAAGAAGTGTTATGTCTGTCCATCTGAGCAAGCTATGGGGATGTGACCAATTTAGCATCCCAAGGTCCTTAGTTTTCTTACTCTCTGTTCTTACCCTTGCTTAGGCCCATCAGAATGGTTTTTGTGATTTATATGCTTTAGCTAAAAATTAATTTAAAAAAAACTTTGCAAACACTAACCAGGCATTTGCTGGTATTTGATAATAAGGCACGGGCAGTAGCTACAAAACCAGTTGCTTCTATGCTTTGACTAATTCTGACCTCTCACTTGCACCCTACTATTCAGGTATCTGAAGCACAAGATAATAATTCATTCTAGTTGCACCCCAAGTCATGCTTGTTATCACTTGTGTTTAGCTAAAAATCATATGTAATACTTAATTAATAGCAAAAATAATATTTTTCTGGATTAAAAACCTCTCTCCATGGACTACTTCATTGAGTGACAATAATACCACTTTTCTACTCACAGGAAACTCATAGAACAGTCCCATGCACCTCTGGTACTCAATAGTAATGACAGCGGCAGGTGATACATTAAGCCCTGTATATATTTTGAGATCCTTGGACAGAAGACAACTCTGAGCATCAAAGGAAGTAAAAATATCTGAATACTACCTCTGGACCAGCGGTGTTCCGGTTATCTGTGAGAATTTCCACCTGTCTCTTAAACAGCTCTAGCACAGCGTTGTAGACCATCTCATACTGCTCCTAAAGAACAACACAAACCAAGCATCAAAAGCCACGGAATTGTAGGGCTGGGTTAGAGGCTACGTGGCCTAGTGGAACCTGTGACCTGCCGTTAGGAAACCTGCCTTTGAATCCTGCCTGGGACATTTATTAGCTGTGTGATCGTGGCCACATCATTTAACCTCTCCACGACTTAGTTTTTCCGATCTGTAAGATGATGATATTAATGTTGCTAGTATCCACCGTACAGCCTTGTGGTAGAGCTCAAAGAGGATGCATGTGAAATGTTTTACAAACTTTAGAATGCTATAGACATGTCACTTATATTAGAAAAAAGTGAAGATAGAGGTAGAAAATGGGAGAAGTTTCAGTGGGCCAGATCCCATTAGAGAAAATTCTGAGGAACTGCCTCACTTTTTGTAAATGAGAGTAACAATTTTGGAAAACTGGTGTGGTGGAAAGCACACTGAATTTTGTTGTCAGAAGTCAGGGAGGCTGCTTCCTGGCTCAGCTATTTCTTTGAGCGTAAGTGAATTATTCAACCTCTCTGAATTTTCTCATCTATAAAATAAAAGGAAGGGGTTGGATGAAATGATTTCTAAAATGTCTTCCATTTCCAGACCCTATAATTCTGTTTGCATATTTAATGCTTTGTAGTTTTCAGAGCACTTTTATGTAATTATCTCATTTGATCCTTACAACAACCCTATGTGGTCAAAAAGTCAACAAGCACTTATTAAGCACCTACTATGTGCCAGGCTAAATGCTAAGTGCTGAGTCAGTGAGAAAGTCTGTAAAATTATACCTGATTTACAGGTAAGGAAAGAGGCTCAGAAAGGCTAAATACTTTTTCAAAATGACATAATCAGAAGCAGAGCAGACTATATACCACATTCTGAGTCCTAGACCAGTGTTCTTTCTACTATACTGTGTTACTGAAATGTCTCACATAATGTTTAAAAAAAATTGCCTGCTGACTGGAGTTTCTAGATCTTAGATAAAGTTACAGATTTTCATTGTAAGGGGATTTAACTTCTATTACCTCTCATAATGCTGATGGATTCCTGTTTCTGCTATCCCAATTTTTCTTCAAGAAAAAGTTCTAGATGCAGCAAACTGGTGTTTTAGAAGTATGCATTGCATTGGAGTTCAGATCCTCTTTTCATTTGAATGATATTGTTTAGCGATTTTCCCTTACTCTGAATTCAAATAGTCTTAATCAAATTAAGTACAAATTTTCCACAAGCAAGCTACTTGTAGCGGTTGAGTATATCTGTAGTATCTCAGGGATTGGCATCTTGTTCATTTTCAGCCAAAAATCTCTGTAACTTTTGTTAAGGGGGAAGGAAAAGGAAGCAGGAAGTTTAAGCATCGATTATGCTTTATTTTCTGGGTGGAAGAAATGAAAAAAAATGAGTCTTAATTGAGCGCTCTTTGATAATGCCACAATATGGGGGTGAATTCCAAAATGTTTCAGGCATCTTGTAGTTGACTAAATGAGGAAAACATTCAGAGTAGCTCTCATTTGGGGATATTTCTTTTAAAAAGTGCTTCTATACAACATTCCTAGGTTGTATACATTATGAGATCTCATTCCATTTGCATGGACTAACCCTCCCTTTAAGTCTAACAGTGGAACTAAATCCATGTCTACATTTGATTAAAAAAAAAAGTTCCTACTTCACAGGAAGGAGAAAGAAAACACCCAAAATCAACATGAGAAAAGTTTGGGTTTCTTTTCCCCCCACAGCCTCTTAATGGAAAAAGGCAAACTTCTCTTGGTGTGGGGCAAATTGATTGGTTTATTTTACAACAATTATTTCTTCTTCTTTGACCTGACTCATCTTAACAAATTGTTTATAATTTCTAAGTTAAAATATTTGTTTTGTCACTATCAAAACAGAGGAACAAAACTGTCAAGTTTTCTCTTTGGCTCACTATTTTACTGCCTTATTGTGGCATGATGGTGACCCTGAATTCTTGAACTTTAAGTTAGCAGAGCCACAAGCTATGGCAGATCCTACCAAACTGGAAAGTCTTTAAAGAAAGACCCTGCCAAAGACCACGTGTCTGTGGTGTGAGGCACACCTAAGTAACAAAGTGGTGGCCACCAAGGAATTCATGTTTTTCCAAAGAAGCTCATAAAATGTATAGGGGTCATAAGCCACATTGGTGGCGGGTGTGACTGCATTGATGAATGCACAAATCTTTCAAAGTATTAAAGTCTGTCAAGCTCAAGACAACTGGAAATTACATTCTACTAGAAACATCATTAATCTTAGATATGAGTAAGATAGTACTAATCATTTTCTTTCCAAGCCTACATACAATTCCCACTTTAAGCTCTTATACATCACACCAAAGTGGACCTGTCTGCTTAAATCATAAAGGCCAGATGTACTGATTTGCACCTACTTGCCAGGACATTTGAGCCTAGTGTCCATCTGGGAGATAGAGATCTCTTTAGGAGCCCTAAGAAAAATAACTCTTTCAGTCACCTATGAAAGGGAAGTCCAAGGTCTTTGATGGCCTATTCTCTTAATAGTCAATCTATTGCTATGACTTCCAATTCCTAATACAGTGCCTTGCACATAGTAGGTGCTTAATAAATGCTTGTTGATTATATGATTCTTGATGAGTCTATTACAGGGGTGAAGAACCTTCAACCCCAAGGCCACATGTGGCCTTCTAGGTCCTTGGGTGCTGCCTTTTGACTGAGTTCAAGTTTTACAGAACAAATCCTTTAATTAAGGGGATTTGTTCTGAGAAGTTTGGATTCAGTCAAAAGGCTGCATTTGAGGACCTAGAGGGCCATATGTTGCCTCAAGGCCGAAAGTTCCCCACCCCTGGTCTATTATCATTACACCAGTGCTTATGTAGCATATGGTCGCACATAGTAGATTCTTCATAAATGTTTATTGAATGACATCTCATTTGCAATGACCCCTCTACCAGTTTCTACTAGTTGTCACTCACAAAAAGTGACTTAAGCAACAACTATTATGACAATTTAAGAAAAAGCTCTTTAGGGTGGTGGTCTTAACCTTTAACATAGGAAGAAGGAAGGAAGACTCAGACATATGTCCTGGTCTGTTTGCAATAAATTATTCATACCTGAGTTTGCACTAAGGAAGGTCTCTGTGTCCGCATGTCCTGAATTAAACTAAAAATACTGAAGTTCACAGGAATTATCTGCCAAATGAAAGGAATAAAATCTTATTGCTTTCGACCCAAACATCATTAATAAATTGTTCCCTTGTCCTCTCTTTTCTTTCCATTTCACCTCTCAACATCTGTGCTAAATTAAGGCAAAAAACAAGTGACTGCTGTCATTGCTGATATGTCTTCCTACATGAAGGGAAGGGAAGGGGAGGGAAGAGGAAGAGGAGGAAGGAGAAGGAGAGAACAAAGGAAAAGAAAAACAAAGAGATTGGTGCTTTTGAACGCTTAATGTCTTACCCTGGAGTACATCTACAAAACTCCTGTAAAGTGATTTTACATGTTTTGTTTTGTTTTTTTTTTTAACAGTTTTTAATTCCCTGTTTTTGGGGGAAGAGACTGAATTACTGAAACCAAAAACATGATTAGAGAAAATGTGTAGCGGAGAAGCATGGGAATTCATATGACATGCAGTAGAATGTATAATTTTATAGGACAGAAGTTATCTTACCAAGTTTTTACTTCTAATGTGTTTAGTTTAGTTTTGTTTTTTGGGAAGCCGTAATGATCTAAGTGTCTGGATCCACATAATGTAGCATTTCCCAAATTATCTTTCAGGCAGCTAAGTGATATGGTGGATAGAGTGAAAGGCCTGGAGTCAGGAAGACTCATTTTCATGAGTTCAAATCTGGCCTTAGATATTTACTAGCTGTGTTACCCTGGGCAAGTCATTGAATTAACCCTATTTGCCTCAGTTTCTCATCTATAAAATGTGCTGGAAAAGGAAATGGTAAACCTCTCCAGAACTTTTACCAAGAAAACTTCAAATGGGGTCATGAACAGTTGGAAACAACTGAAAATTATCTTGCATGCAACCCTGGCGTGGCTTATCATGTGAACAGGTAGGTACTCTATGAGAAAATTTAAATCAAACAGTAAAATCACAGATTTTACTCGAAGGAACCTTAGAGATTGTATAGAATAACTCCCACCCCACCTTGTTTACATATAAGGAAATGGTAACCCAGACATGTTAAACTCAATGACATGATAAGCAAGTAACAGAGACAGAATTTGAACTCAGGTTCTCAAACTCTAAAAACCAATGGTCTTCTTGCAACATCAATCCTCTTCTAAAATCCACTCTAACATACTTAGTAATATAGTATGTATGCATCAAAAACATGCATACCAGTTTTTCATTGCAAAAGTAAATTTAATTCCTTTAGTATTGCTCTGAAATTCCCCCCACCTCTTTATGCCAGAAACAGTCCACAACCCCCATACCCTGTAGCCTAGTATTTATAGGTTCCATCAATATATTTCAAGTCGAGAAATGTTCTGTAACAAAATTTATTTGGGGAACATTGGTATAATAACAAAACATTTTATAACCTATAGTAGTTCTGGTCAAGGATCAGTGTAGAACAGGAGCAGCTGGGAAAACAGCTTGGGTAATTGTGTGTAAAACTGACTTACTGGAACACAGGAAGAAAAACTGAAAATAAATTTGGGAAAGCCTGAATTGAGGAACAGGTGTTTGTCAGAATGAAGCAATTTCTGAGTATCCCTGCTCCTGGGCAGGGCAAATAGGAAGTGCCTGCTGAGAGATACTCACCCCATCTTTAAGCAGTTTCCAGGTATAATCAACAGCACAAAGAACACCAGTCCTCCCACAGCCAGCACTGAAATGAAAGATCATAGTACTGGGGAGAGTGGCAGAATTACTGAAAACCTGTCATCTGCAAGACATTTGGGAAATTTCATAAGCAATGTGACCAGGCAAGTTCATGGAGGCGATGAAGCTTGCCATCCATATAAATACTTCCCAGAGCACATTCACCAGCTGCCAAATGCTTTCCTCCTAGACCAGCTGAGCTTCCTCACCTAACCTGGATTATCTGTCCTAGCAATCCCCTCTCTCACTAAGTGGTTTATCAGAAAAATAACATCTCAAGATTCTAGTTACTTTTTGAACCAGTATGTTCTTGCCCTGCACCATACACTAAAATCCTAATCTGATGTTTCATCATGGTGTGAAGGTGACCCTGGGTTCTTAAAGATTTTGCCAACAGAACATAGGCTCTGGCAAGGCCCTGCCAACCTGGAAAAGCTTCAACTATGGGCCTGGAAACAGACCACATGCCTTTTATTACAAGGACAAGCCTAGCTAAATGCAGGGAGGCTCACCACCAGAAGGTTGACCACCAGGGGGTGAATTTTTTGGGCCAGAGTAAGGCATGTACACCAGCAACTAAGGTGCAGGGGTTGGGGAGATGGAGAGTAGGAGGGTGTAAGTGGGGTTGTTATTTGTGTCAGTGGAGGAAGTAACTACCTCTCTGAAATCACAGATATTTTGAAAATACCAAAGTTGGAAAAATACTGACCCCTTCATTGACTCATATTTCTAAGCTCCATTACTCACCAACCAACTGGGAGATACAGGGCTTAGACTGCTCTGAATGCTAGGAAAAACTAGTGATGCTTCAATTATAGAAGAAGCTGTGGCCTATGGTTTATTCTGAAAGCAATCCTCATCCCCTCCCAGGCAGCACCATACCTGCAGTGAATACAAATAGGAACACTGTCATCCACTTGGTAACATCGCATCTCCCAAATGAGCTCAAGGATGGGATCTATAGATGAGGGTACATCGTGATCTGGCCAGTTCTTGTAATGAAACTGATAGATGGTTCGAGTTTCCTATGGGAGAATGGCCAGAATAAAATAGGAGAGGGAGTTCCAAGTTGGAAACTGGGAGGTGCTTCTCCCATGAAAAGCCAACAGCTCCCACAAAACTCCTATCTACAAGATCGGTTCCCTTTGCCATCGATGCATTTTCTTCTGAGTGTAACAACCCACTCACAAGTCATCTAGGTAGATTATACCAATTATTTGTCATGATCTATTTCCCTGATATAAACTGTTTGGGCTAGGTCCATTCCCACAGAGGAAAGAAGTGGGAATATGTTAACAGAAGTTGCCCAAATGACTGACTGATAAGTCTATCAGTAAAACCACAGATACCAAAGGAATTCTACCAATTCCTAATTTGCCCTTATCAAACTTACTCAGAATGAGTGAATCTAAGGGACCTGGACTTTGTCCTACTAAATACTGAATATTAAATCATTAGCCAGAACCACCACCAGCCACTCAGAACTAGCGTTAAGTTCTGGGTAGAGTTGATTTCCTGGGTTTTGATGTGTGTGGCTTCAGTTCTCAGGACCAGAATCAGACCAAGGCCCAGAGATGAGATCCAGCAAACCTATGTCCATTCCTAGAGCCTTTTTACATGTTATTATTAATAAACTCACAGTTAGGTCATTTTAATATTTCTTGAAATCCCCTAACCAGTTTGGCATCATCACTATTAAGTAAGTGAAAGGAAGATGCTTCAGACTTACACTGTTCAGTTTGGCTTTTAGCGTCCTGATAACAAAATCTGATTTCTTGTTTTCAGATTCCTAAAGAAGATACATTAGGGGAGATCAGTAAGATCTATAGACAAGTTGTTCTGTATAGTAATGTGGAACACCAGGATCTTTGTCCAGTAATGGGGAGATCTGATATACTCACACAGGAGATGGAGAAGGGGCCACACTGTAGAACAGTCTCTCCTGGCTCAGTCCAGTAGCGCTCACACTTTTTCTGTGGCACAAAACAAGATGTCATGATTTCCTCTCCTTTCAACTTCTTCTGGGTAGCCCAAGCTATTTCCTATCTTTTGTCTTATAACTTCTAATATACTTGGGCATTAACCCCAGTCTCATCCTGGCTACTCAAGGGTATTATATTCCAAAACGATTAGATTCAGAGCCAGGACAATGAATGGCCTAAAGTTCATATAAATAGGTATCACTAGGGATATTTAGCCTGCACGAGAGTTCCTGAAGACAGGAAAGCTGTTTTCAAGTATTTGAAAGCATTTGAAAAGCTTTTCCCCTAGAAGTGGGATCAGCTTTGCCTCTGAGGGCCAAACTAGGAGCAATGGATGAAAGATGGAAAGAGGAAAATTTGGGTTTAACTCAAGGAAAAATTCCTGACAAAACCAGCCAAAAGTGGAATGGATTGTTTTGGGAAGTAGCATTTTCCATATGACTAGAGAGGTCTTCAAACAAAAGCTATAATCACTTTTCAGTTATGATATATAGAAGTTTTTTGCTCAGTGAGCAAAACAGAATTGCAGTAGCTCAAAAGAAACATGTGAAGCAAAAATTTAGACGTTTCTTCCGCAAATGTTCGTGTGGATTATCTGTGCCCGACATGTGGTAGAACCTTCTGAGCTTGTATTGACTTGATCAGCCACAGTCGGACACACTGTACGTTGACCCATAGTGATGTCCTTTTGGTCCACTTCGAGAAGCAAAGACAACAGTGAACATTTTTCAGGTGTGACATACAGAGGATTCTTATTCAGGTGTGGGTTATACTAGCTAGCCCCTGAGATCCTGTGATTCCATTAAATGAGTGTCTGATATGTGCCTGGGACTGTGCTAGAATCTGCCAGAGATACAAGAGAAGTGGGAAACACTGCTTCTTTGCTCAATTTTACAGTCTGGTTAGGGAGAGATTTTAAAGGACTCCTGAGTCCCCAGTGTAGGATATTCCAACATTTATTCATTCAATAAACACTTGTTAAGTACCTGCTCTATGCCAGGAAGGATTCAGTATGGATTCAAAGGCCAAAAAACAAAATTAATAATAATCACTGCCCTCAGTTTCCCCCTGTTGGGGGAAAACAACATATACACAGAAAATTAAATGCAAAGTAGATACATATTTGTTTCTGGGGGAAGAGTTCTAACAACTGGGAGAACCAGACTAGGCTTGCTTTAGAAGGCGGCACCTGAGTTGAGTCTTGAAGAAAGCTAGTGAGTTGATAAGATGAAGGTGAGGAGGGAATGCTTTCCAGTCATGGGAAATGGCCAATGGAAAATGTTGCTATGAGAATTTTTGTTTTTTTATTTTATTTTGTTTCTAAGGGGAAGGAGGGCAGGGAGTTAGGTTACTAAGCTGGTTGAAACCTGTCCCATGGGATATGAAACTATACATTAGGCCTCATATATTCCTCAGATAAGCCAAAAAGGGAGTTGAGGTTTCCTAAAATAATTTGACTTGCCTTATTTGAGGAAAAATCCTAAATGGCATCAACTCCTTGGTTATCTTGATGACGTGTAAATCCTTTCTCCCCTCTCAATTAGTGTAATCATTGGGACTTCTTTAAAATGGAGTTTTATAAATGTAGGATTTTACAGACTCAGTATTTAAACCTATAACTTAGTCCATTTACTAATTTGTTCTAACTTAGTTTTTTCCACCTTAATTGAAGGAAGCATGCGATAATTAATGTTTGACTAGACCTGTGTGACCTTTATGACTTGAGACCATAAAGGTTGTTATATATTAAAATGTTATTTCTCTGACACAATTTTGTCTATGAAAAGCCTCATTAGAATCCTAATCTTAGTTCAGGGTTATTCTTCTGAATCCTGCCCCTGTGCTTAACCATAATAAAACCTAGGTTTTTACCGCTGTAATTGCTGTGTGGTGGTAGATTCGTTTTGGCAGCAGTAACCTACTACACAAACTCAGGAGATTATTTCTCCTGGAACCAAAGGCACAGAGGTTGTGTACAGGGAGCAGTAAGAAGGCCGGTTCGGCTAGCATGTAGAACTTGGAAAGACGAGCGGGTGCCGGATTGTGAAGTGCTCTAAATGCCAAATAGAGAGAGAAAAGAGGAAGCTGCTAGGGCTTCCTTAGCAGGGAAATGACACGCGTAGACCTGTTCTTTAAGAATGTCAACTTGACAGCTGAAGAGACCAGAGACTAGAAGGCTAACCAGGAGGCTGTTGTGATAGAGGCTGATTGGGCCTGAACTATCATGGTGGCTGTGTGAGAGAAGAGAAGGGGATAGGTGGATATATATCATAGAAGTAGAACCAACCAGCCTTGGCCATAGACTGAATATGTAGAGTGAGGGTGAGTGAGGAATTGAGGATGACTCCAGGGTTGTGAACCTGAGACACTCAAAGGATGGTGATGTCCTCAGCAGACCTAGGAAGAGAGGCGGGTTTGGGGAGACGATGATTTGTGTCTTGGATACGACGTCTAAGACGCCTACAGGACATTTTATTGGAGATCCCTAATAAGCAGTTGGTAATGCAGCAAGGAAATTCAAGGAAGAGATGAGCTGGCTATTAAAATCTGCATCAAGATGGTCATTAAAGCTGAGGGAAGCTGATGGGATCACTGAGAGAGACGGTAGAGAGAGAAGAGGACCCAGGACATTAATGATGATCCGGCAAAGGGGACTGAGATCTCCTTTGAGAGAGGAACAGCCAAAGAGGTAGGAGCCACAGAAGAATATCAGCATAAAAACCCAGGTGGGGAGAGACTGTTTAGTAGGAAGTTCAGAAGGTCACGTCCTGAAGAGAGATCAAGAAAGATAAGGATTGAGAAAGGTAATTAGGTTTGGAAATTAAAAAACCACTAGTAAACTTGAAGAGACTGACTTCAGATGATTGATGAGAGAAAACCAGATAGCAGGACATCTAGAAATAAGTGAGAGATGAGAAAATGAAGAGAGCATGTAGACAGATTTGTTTTTCTTGGAGTTTGGCTATGAAAGGGAGGAGAACTAGAGGATTTTAAAAAAAATTTATTTATTTGTTTTCAGTTTTTAACATTCACTTCCATAAGCTTTTGAGTTTTAAATTTTCTCCCCCTCCCTCCCTCTCCCCTCCCCAAGAGGGCATGCAATCTGATATAGGCTCTACATGTACATTCATATTAAACATATTTTCGCGTTAGTCATGTTGTAAAGAAGAGTTAGAACCAACAGAAGGAACCACGGGTGGTGTTTGACTTGTTCTACTTGGCCTCAGAAGGACAGTGGTAGAAGTCACAGAGAGGCAGATTTAATGAACACGTTCCTAACAATCAAGTGAAATGGGCTGCCCCAGAAGGTGGGGAGTCCCCCTTCATTGTAGGTCTTCGAGTAGAAAGGAACTCTGAAATTCTCTGGCTTAATTTGTAGCACATGAAGGGATCTCTTATAATTCCTAAATTGAGCACTAAGCTAAAGGATGAACATGCTCACTAAATACAATGCATGGTATCAAACATTTAACTTCCCTAAGATGCCCACTGTGGTTTCACCTTCAGTTTTTCTCTCTTCCCTCCAGGTCCTCCCCCTCTAAGTAAAAAGTCTTTCCCAGGCCAGGATACTCACCTTTCCCATTTCAAACTCCATGCATGCCATAACAATGATCTATGAGGATGAAAGATAGAGAGACATGAATGCCTGTCCAGTTAAATTCTGCATTTAGCATGCAAAGCCTTGGGGCCAAAAAGTATTAACTGACAACCTAACTGACAGGTTGTCACAGTTACTCCTAACTCTACTTCAAACCGTAAGAAGGAAACCAGAGGAAGATGCGTTAGAACCTACCAGAACACTGTATTCCCATATCATCCTCCAGAAGTCCAGAAGAGTGGTAGCCAGAGGCCCCTGGGTGGCGATGTATGCCCTGGGGCCATATACACCCTAAAGTGAGACCCAGATTGTAGAGTATAAATATACCATTAGCTCCCAAGAGTCCTATCTGGCACCCTCCCCTCCCTTTGCTGCTACTCATAAAATACAGAATGTTGTCTTTTATGGTACCTTGATGAAGTTGGCATTGATATAGTGGGAATCCTCATCAGAAGTTACCAGGGACAGCTTTACCCTGCTATGATCAACTACAAGAGAAAGAAGGTACAGTGAAATGAAAGAGGGTTAGAGCCAGGGGTCTTTGGATATGTCTGTCCCTTGCACAGTGCTTTCAACCTTTCTCTTTGGTCTGGACCTGTGATTTCATACACTCAGGGAACTCCTGGAGAGGAAACACCTTCTATTTCTGCAGATTGGCAGTTGGTCTGTATTGTATAGATTTTAGAGAGTTGAGGTAGTGATGCCCAGCGTTCTTTGTCAAACAGCTAGTATGTGTCAGAGATAGGATTTGAACCTGTGTCATCCTGATTCCTAGACAGGCCTTCAGTGCACTGTAACATAGTCATCACCTATATTACAGATTCATTAGGTGCTTTAAGTATCAGCCTCCTGGGAGAGTATAATTCTAGTTTTAAGTTACTGCTGCTTGTTTAAGTTTTTGTCATTTGGGCACTTGAGTCTTTTGTGATGAGCGTTTCTTTTACTCGGGAAAAAATGCCTAATTAACCTGTACATTGAGTACCTTTCTACTTCTTCTTTTTGAGGACACAATAATTGCTGACCTTAACGTGGTGCTTGAAGATTTGCCAGATCCTCTAATAATAATAATAATAATTAGCATTTAGAGAGTACCTACTATGTGCCAAGTACTACACTAATTGCTTTAAAAATATTATCTCGTTTGAGCCTCCCAATAACCTTGGGAGTTAGGTGTTCTTGGTATCCTTACTTCACAGTTGAGAAAATACAATTAAGTGACTTGCCCAAGATCACACAACTAGTAAGTATCTGAGGCTAGATTTGAGCTTAGGTCTTCCTGACTCCAGTCCCAATGCTGTATCCACTGGGCCACACTAGAAACCACCACACTAGAAATGAACCCAAACTAAATTTTGAGAGCTCCAGGGTAGATGTGGGGGGAAAGGCAGCTAACGTGAGAAAAATGTCCTTGACACCTCTTTTTAGAGGCCAGGCTCCTCTAGGACTGAGCCTTGTCTACAGAAGTGGGTCCAGAGCTAGGGGCTTAGTGGAAGAGGGAGAGCATGCATCCTAGACCTCCTTGGGCCAGGAATTGGTCTTTGTGTTTTTATACCTGAAATGCATTTCCTTGTCACCCCCACCTCTTAGAATTCCTTGTTTGCTTCAAGGCTTAGCTCTAGCACCCCCCTCGACATGAAGCCTTCCTCAGCCCCCCAACTTGCTAGTATAACTCTGGTATTCATTTTGTGTATAAGGTATGCATTATATATATGCTATGTGAGGACTGGCTAAGGACAGCTAAGACCCAAGCTGATGGGAGCAACCCATGTTTGACCACTGATTGACTCACCTATGTACCAGGAACTTCCTATGTACCAAATATTGACTTCAGTCAATTTCATTGAGGCGACTCTCCTGATTTTAATCATCTTAGCAAACTTCGTGTAGTTCAGGTATGCAAGGTTAGCAAACTTTCCTAATCACAATGCCCTTATGGTCAAAAAAAGGGGGTCAGGCCAGACTACCTACTGATTCACTGCCCCTAAGGTCCTTGTTCTACCTATTTCCTGGAAATCTGCCAAGTAGCAACAATCAGCCATAGGGGCAGACACCCAGAGATTTGGACTCTATGCCTGAGCCTCTGTCATGTGCCTATAGGGCTGTTGGGCAGGGGAGACACCCTTGCATAGGCACCCGTACATAGTGAACTGTCTGACTCATGATCCTCTGAGTGCTTATGTTTCTTCTAGATACCTTACCCACAATCTCAGGGCTGTGTATGCTTATATATGTTCAACCTGTCTCTCCCCTTGAAAAGGAAGCTCCCTGAAGGCAGGGTTGGTTTCAGTTTTTGCATTTTTATCATCATGTCTGGCAGTTAAGTACTTAATAAAAGCTTTTTGAGCTTGGTCCCAAAAAAGGTAAGAAAACACCTCCCGCACCACGTTTGCCAGGGTTTAGGGAGAAGGGCACCATTGTTTTTCATCCATGTCTGACTCTTCATACCCCGTTTGAGGTGTTTTGGCAAAGATACTAGAGTGGTTTGCCATTTCCTTCTTCGACTCATTTTACAGATGAGAAACTGAGACAAACAGGGTTAAGTGACTTGCCCAGGGTCACACAACTAGTCGATGTCTGAGGCCAGATTTGAACTTAGGAAGATGCGTCTTCCTGACTCCAGACCTGGCACTCTATCCACTGCACCTCCAAACTGCCCATCGTATATGTTAGATTTTTTTTCTCTTTTTTATTTTAAAAAATTCTTTGTTATAAGGGATGGCCCTTTGAGAAAATGAGTTACAAAGAGAAATCTAGGCAATGTAAATATAAATCAACTAAAATCTATATGGAAAAATGCTTGTTGATTGACAAATATTTGTTGACTGAAGGAATAGCTTGTTATCCTCAGGTATACATGTTAAAAGCCAAAAGTCATAGTTGTGTTCCAAGATTAGAGACAGTAGTGGATAGAAGATGTAGGAAAGGGCATGGGAAAGGCAGTAAGTCAGTGAGTAAATTTAGGAGGACAAACAAATTTGTAAAGAGAAGTAAAAATATCCTAGACTTACAAGGCAAGATGTCCTTATATCTGTTTTTCTTGATATTTTCTGGCCTCTCAGCCACAGTTGTAGGGTATGTTTTATCCATCTTATACTTGGTCGATTGCCTTTTCAGCTTCTGTAGTGAAATAATGAAGAGAAGAGAAAATAAATGGAGAGCAAAGAGCTTCATGACTATCCCTAGAGAGGCTCCCTTTTCACTCTGTAGCTGCCTGTATTCTAGACAGCTCCACAGCTCATCTGTGGGAAAAGAAATGTGTCAGGTCTGGTGTTTAAAGAATGGAAACATCACACTTGCTACAGCTGAGCCATCAACACCTGTAAGTCAGCGGTGAGGCTGTGGTGAATACTTGAAGGCCTAAGCATATTCAGAAAATAAAATTCCTCTCAAGACAGTGTATCTAGGGGAAGGGAGGGGAGGGATAGAGAGAGAGAGACAGAATAATATTTTTCTTGTAGAGATCACTCTTTTTCAGCTAGAAGATAAAACACAAACTAAATACAGCCTCCCTGTGTTTCCTGCCAAAAAGTGCTGTAAGTAGAATGTGAGCACCTTAAAGTCATTGACAGTTTTCTGGTTTGACCTTGTATATCTAGCACCTAGTGCACTACTGGGGTAGAAACATTTTCTTAGCCCCTATCACATGGACTGAGCTATCTTTTCCTAGGACTCTAAGCCATGTAGGCTAGGCTGGTATTTCCTTAAAAGGGATTGAAACTCTCCTCATCTTAATTGGTCCCAAAGACTGAGGCTCCATCCATTTACCAGGCTCCCAGTCACCTAAGGTAGAAGAAAGACTGGCCCAGGAGCAGTCAGGGCTTCTCATATTTGTCAGATATCCTGTTTCCTTGAAAGTCACCACACCCTGCTGACCAGACACTTTTCTGTGTGGAGATGAGTGGGGCTGAGTCTCCCTGTATTCATGCTGTATCCTTGCTGAGTGTTCTGTCCGTGCTATAGCTAAATAAACTTCCTCTTGTTAACTATTAGATGGTCTATGTTCGGTTCATTCCATTTTTGAATCTGAACTACCTGGTCTCCAAGTACCTTTAACATAGCAGAGGCTTAATAGATACACGGTGAACTAATGAATGGATATGCTTTGGGAAAAGTTACTTTTATCATTTTGGATCTAAACTATAAGCAAAGTCTGTTAGTGAAACAAGGAAGCTTAGGTGACTCAGTCCTAGAGCCCATCCCTTACAATGTAGCATCATAATCTATTGGAAATATTCAGGCAAGCGTTTGTAAAAATAGTTAAATGAGCTTTTACTAGAAAGCAAAGCATCCCCTTGGAACGATTTCCATTTACTAGTACTAGCCTGCCCTCCAAAATTACAGGTCAGAGGAAATGCCAGCAAATAACTTTGGCAACTCGTTAAGAAATGACCTTACCCAAATTTTTACTCATTTCGATGTCATGTATCATTCAAGAATCCCCATCAAGTCAAGACGTGACTTTCTTGACACCCCACTCAGTTTGAGAAGGAGAAAGATAATTGGAACTCAATAAATAATTATTGAACTAAATTAAAATATGAAGTGTTATCTAATGAGGTCTATTGGGCTGTACATTTTACAGTTCTCAATGATTTAACTCTCCGTCGGCCTCAAAGTTCATCCTTCTCTCAGCCTTTGCAACGTATTATCCTCAGCCTTCTCCTGTGCCTCTAACAGTTTCTTCTCAGTCTCTTTTTTCTCTTCAATTCTCCTGATTTTGCACATTTCCCAAAGTTTAGTCTTTAACCTTCTACTCTTCTCTCTATAGAGAGAAGCTAGTTGGTGCAATGGGCAGAATGCTGAGCCTGAAGTCAGGAAGATTGGAGGACAAATCTAGCCCCAGACACTCACTAGCTTTGTGACCCTAGGCAAGTCACTTAACCTTTGCCTGCCTCAGTTTCATCAGCTGTAAGATAGAGATAATAATAGCACTACCTCACAGGGTTGTTGTAAGGATCAGATGAGATACATGTAAAGGGCTTAGCTCAGAGCCTGGTCTGTAGTAGGTACTCTATAAGTGCTTACTCCCTTCCCTGTATATACTCTTTCTCTTAGAGATTTCATTTACTCTCTAGCATAGTAATTTCATTACCTCTACACAGAAAACTACCAAATCTGTACCTCTGGTCCTAACCTGTCTTCCAAGCTTTTACTGTGTATGTCCAAATAGCAATTACACATTCTCCCTTTGATATACTGGCATTACCTCAAACTCAACATGTTGAAAACCAAACTTCATCATCTTCCTATTTCCTCATGTTGGTTCACCCTCTTCAGTTTCCTATTTCGGTCCATTGTACTATCTTTTTCCTGGTAACTCAGGTTCAGAATCGTTCATATTTAACTCCTAGTCTTTCAACTCCCATATGAATTCAGCCTCCAAGGTCTTTGTCATGGCCCACATCTCAGTCCCTTCCTTTCCATTCTCACTGCCACTCTCCCAGCCCAAGCCCGTGCAGGTCAGAGCATTATACAATCATGGATTTAATTCTGGGATCACAGAATTTATTGTTGAAAGAGACCTCAGTGGCTGTCTAGTGCAAACTATACAAGAAAAGTAATCCTTGCTAGAACTTGCTTGACAAGTGGTCATCCAGTCTCTGTTGGAAGGCCTTCAATGAGGGAGAATCCACCACTCCCTCAAGGTAGCATATTCCATTTTGGGGCCGCTCTGATGGGGGCAGCTAGGTGGTACAGTGGATAGAGTGCTGGGCCTGGAGTCAGGAAGACTCATCTTCCTGAGTTCAAATCTAGCCTCCAGACATTTATTAGCTGTGTGTCCCTGGGCAAGTCACTTAACTCTGTTTGCCTCGGTTTCCTCATCTGTAAAATGAGCTGGAAAAGGAAACAATAAGCCACTCCATTATCTTTGCCAAAAAAAACCCAAATGGGATCATGAAGAGTTGGACACAAATGAAACACACCAGAATTGATGGTTACGAGCCTAACAGACGCTATCATGCCAAGCCTAAATTTGTCTCTGCAACCTCCTACCATTGTGCCTGGTTCTTTGAGGCAGCACGTACAGATCGGGCACTGAAACGCAGGGTCAGCAAGACCTGGGTTCAATTCCCTCTTCAGATACTCATTAGCTGGGTGATCCTGGGCAGTCACTTCATCTCGCTTAGCCTCAATTTTCCCATTTGCAAAATGAGATGAACTCGATGGCCTACAGAGTCCCTTCCAACTCTAAATCTGTGGTTCTCTGGACGCCTCTCAGTCCAAGCAGAGCAAATGTAGGCCATTTTCCACTTAAAGAAGTCATCGAATCCATCCCCCTAATTTGCCAAATGAAAGGATCATCCTGAACATGTTAAATGACTTGCTCTGTTAGCTCCAGTAGTCACTGGCAAGGTCAGGATTTAAAACCAAGTCCTGTGATTCCGAATCCAGAACTCTTTCTACTACACCATCCAGGTACCACTCACAAACATTAATGTCGTCAAAGACAAGAATTCTTCAATCAAGAGCTTTCAGAATCTCATGTTTGGTTTTTTGCTCTTTGTTTTCTTTCCTGAGGGGCATGAGGTCTAGAGAGCAGAGAAAGGGAAACATGTCAGTGGCTTGTGTTAACAAAGGACTCAAGGAAATAATTATTTGTTCCGCACTTACTATACGCTAAGCACTTTACAGCTATTACACAGCAACCCGAGGAGTAGATGCTATAATTATCCCCATTTTACAGTTGAGGAACCTGATGTTAAGTGACTTGCCTAGGGTGGCACAGCTCGTAAGTGTCTGAGGTCAAAGTTAAACTCAGGTCTTCTTGATTCTTGGCCCAGTGCTCTGTCCACCATTTTCAAAATCTCCAAAATACACCAGGGTTTTTGCCTTTGCACCCCCCTCTTATGTCTCAGCAGCTCTGATTTTTGATGGCTTAGGCGAGATTTTTTTTTTCCAGAAAAAAGTAGTGTCAGGTTTAGAGTTTTTTCACGATTTTTTCAAGATTACTGTAAAAATTCAGCCGCGCTGTGAGGGAAGGAGTCTATCCCAATGTGGGGAAGGTAGCCACTGAGGTCAGTCTGAAAGAAGCTAACAATATGGGTCTTGTTTGGTTCCCCTGGGTTAGTTTAATAGCCACCTGACTGTTCTTCCTACTCCTCGGCTAGTCCCTTTCCAATCCATTCTATACAACGATGCCAGATTAATCCTTCAGAACTCTACTTCCACTGTCTTATATGTATCTTTGCTTTAAGGAGAGCAGATTTCAAAGAGTTTAAAGAAAGGATACTCAACAGGATAATGAGACAGTCAGATGGTATAGTACATAGATTATTGGACTTAAAGCAGGAAGAGCTGAGTTCACATGCAACTTCAGAAGCTAACTAGCTATGTAATTCTGGTAAAACCACTTAACTTCTCAGCCTCAGTTTTTTCATCTGTAAAAAGGGGATAATAATAGCACCTACCCCACAGGGCTATTGTAAGGATATAAAGTGCTTTTCAAATCTTCTTATCTCATGGGCTAAATTCCATAGGTAGAGTCAACCCAGGAGGGATTGGAAGCTCAAAAGAAAGAAATTCTGAAGACAATAAGAGAAATAATTCCAATGACAAGGAAAAAGGGACTCCACAAAGAGACTAATGTGAAAATACAAGAAGCTTCTTAACAAACTCAGATTTTAGAAAGACCCCTGGGCTGACCAAGGAGATCAAAGACAAAAAGGAAGGTCTTATATATACTAAAATATTCATAGCATTATTGTTATGGAAGCAAAATGCTAGAAATAGAGTACTTTACCATTGATTAGGGAATAGCTAAAATGGATGGTGGTAAATAAAGGCAATAAAATTTCATTGCATCCTAAGAAATCGCAAATAGAAATTCAGAGAAACATGGAAAGATAGATGAATGGATGTAATAAAATAGGCAGAACCAGGAAAACAACATAGAACGACTATAGTGAAGTAGGCAGAAAGAACTACGAAACCAAACTGAACTGCTGAGGAGGGGTAATAACCAAAGCTTACCCCAGAGGGGAAATAAGAAAACAAGCCTTCCTCCTTCCACTGAAGAAGTGAACAACTAGGAGCTTCCAATCTGCTGCCCAATGTGTTCCACGAGTAGGAAGCAGAGATCACTAAAAGCCAACGTGGCTTCATCAAGAGCAGGTCAT